GGGTGGGGGGGGTCATGTCTACCATCCACGCAAATAATGAAAGGATTAGACATATGAAACAATATGAGATTTGAGTGTGAGAAATTTCCTGATTGACTGAGCTATGTACTTTTGGGGAGGGAGGGAGCTTGGAGCTGTCCTGTGGGGAGATGGGATTAGCTCTGCGAGGTATGCAGGCCATCTAGCAGTACAAAAAAAAAAAAAAAAAACACCTACTTATCTGAAAATCTCTCTGATTGCAGGACTGGAAGGAGAAGTACATCCATCAAAACTACACTCAGATTTTCACTGAGAACTTCTTGGAAGAGGTTCGTAGGTTTTTTTATCTACATGTGTTCAAGTTACGAATGCAGACGGAGAGAGTGACAAAATGTCGCTTAGAATTCTAACATCTGGTTTTAACTTGTCTGAGTGTTATATTACACTAACTATAACTCCAGGTGAAAGTGTTCAAATCTGTTCTCAGTGGTTATTTATGTATGTGTGTGTGTGGGTGTGTTACAGCCTTGTCCAGATGTGTTCTGGTTCCCGGTGTTCTCAGAGAGGGCCTGTGATGAACTAGTTGAGGAGATGGAGCATTATGGTTCATGGTCTGGAGGCAAACATGAGGTCAGTTTTTTTGGGTTCAGACTTCCTGAACACAGTGCAGTCTTTACACTGCACTTGGTCTAGTTTTTTTTTTTTCTGTTTTTACTTGAATTTTGTAGGTGTTAGCACATATTTATATGCGTTAAAAAGCTTGTGTTAGGAAAGTAGTTTTATTGTTTCATAATAAGTGTTTTAAATGTATTTTTCAATACATCAAAAATGTTACAGGACTTGAATGTTTTCAGTGATCATAGTTTATGCATTTAGTTCATAAGTTCTCATAATGTAGAGTAGCATGCAACCATTTGCTAATGGTGCAGCTTTGCATTATTCTAGTCCTTAGTTCTACTTATGAGATCCTGAATATAGTAAAAAAAAGGCTTAAGCAACAGTTTCTCTGAATGATAAATTAATTTAAACCCAAATCAGGCTAAATTAATTTGCACAAATTATTTTTAATTATCTCTGTTTTGTATTTTTGTTTACATTTGAGACATTCAGTAGTTAACTAAGCAGAGTCATGCCGTTACAGTTTGGTCAAATTCACGGACCTAATTTAAAACTGAGCTCTGAAGTTACATTTACTGTAATTTTACTGAAGAAACTCGCAACACAACGAAATTGTACTTGGTGAAGAACTAATTGAATTTTTTTTCTTAATATTATTTATGCAGTGTGTAGTAATAATCTTTTTAGATAACATTAACTCACAGATTTAGACACAAAATTAACATATTCATCATGTCTTTGCCCAAAATCTAAACTAATCTGAATTTGGAATTTTAAAAAGTAGCATTTATGATTTTCTTTAATTTTGTGGTGTGTCTGATTTGTGTGGCCTGTTTTATGTAGATCCAAGCTGGTCTTTTAGCGTGTCTGAAAGTTTGTCTTAGACTAAATATGTGCAGAAAGTTTGACTAACTGTTTGGAAAAGACTGGGATGAATGGGTCATTAGGCCTCACCCAGGCAGACAACAACCAGCCTGTGGTTTTAAGAGGACACACAGACACATCATCACCATCATCACGCTAAAGGCTGTTGTTACTCAGTAGAAATGGTGGCTCATTTGTTCCCCAGTTAATCCCACTATTTCATTTTTTTCTTTCTTAGGACAGACGGATAGCAGGGGGCTATGAGACGGTGCCGACGGATGACATTCACATGAAGCAAATTGGGTTTGACAAAGAGTGGTTACACTTCATCCGAGAGTTCATATCCCCTGTCACATTAAAGGTTTTCTCTGGCTATTACACAAAGGTTAGTCTGACCTAGTGAGGAAAACAGTCAAAGCCTTTGCAAATCATTAAAAAAAATATTACCAACATTTTTCCATTTTTATATTAGTGCATATTTTCTACTGAATTTAATCTGGAGGTCTGCTACACTGGCTGGTAATTAACATGCTGTGTTTCTGTTTCTTTATGGCAGGGTTACGCAATAATGAACTTTGTTGTAAAATACACACCTGATAGACAAGCTTACCTGAGACCCCATCATGACTCCTCCACCTTCACCATCAACATCGCTCTCAATAACAAAAATACAGATTTTCAGGTAAGATGGGCTGAAAATTTAAATATACATTTTTTTTCTCCTAAAGAAATCTTTTGGAAGTTTTAAGTAGCGTTTCCGTGGAAAGGTTACGAAGATTTAATATGTTACCTGTTGAAGATAGCTTTCAGAAAGACCTGGATTTGGAGAAATTTCCCATTGAAAATAATAGAATTGAATCACAAAAAACTGAAATGCACAACTGACATGAAGGTTTATAAAATAGCATTATTGTGAACTGGTAGAATTATTTAAAAAAATAGTGTTGTTTTAAAATAGTGGTAGCCTGGCCCTTGCCTTCCTACGCAGCTCCACTCAATTCTAGTTTCCCTTCTCTGCTCCGTCTGGGACTTCTCCCATTGAGATGGATTTCGCTGGCAGATTTTTAGCCAGGCCAATCAGAGAACAGAACGTCGATTTTCTGCGCAGAGTCTCTTATAATTTATTTTACCTGGGCCAATCAGAGAACAGAAGGAGGAGTTTTGAATGACGTTGATGTTCTGCGCAGTGTCTGCTAGTTATTTTAGCATACAGCAGTGGAGGAGGTTAATGAAGCCAGTCTGTGTTAAGGCTTCCAAATTAAAATAAATTTGTCTGACAAAGCAGCAGCTCTCATTTACAGTTGTCTCGTTCGGCTCGGTATATTTCTCCTCTCAGTAGGGTTGTTTACAGCACACGCGATTTCCAGTTAGCTTCTTAGCTTAGCCTCCATCACAGCGACAACACATATATGCTTCAGCAGAGGCCACGCCTCCTGCTAGAAATGCTTCTCTATGCATCAAGTCCAGACCCTAGTACGAAGCAAAGTGAAGGACAGGGTCTGGTTTTGACCAGGCTAAAATAGTGGTAATCTACTTCATTTTTGGTCATATTTGAGCTATTAGCTCATTAGTCAGACTTAAAGGGGCAATATTATGTGTTTCTCAGGCATATATTTAAATACTATACCATAATAAAGTGTCTATGTCACCTTTAGCTGTTAATAAAATGCTGTTTTTATGTTTAAATAGAAAATAAACTTTTCTCATCACTTCCTCTTCGAAACGCCTTGAAATTGGCCTCTGTCTCTTTAAGAACCACCTTCACTTCTGTCCCGCCCATTTCAGGGGGGGGGGGGGGGGCTATGATACAGTTTACTCAGCATCTGAAAATACATTTCCTCAAAGGTATTTTGAATCTGAAAAGTGCTTCACTGAGTGAGAAATAGTGTTGAGAGCAGCTGACAGTTTAAGTTTCACTTTCACTTTGCTTTGTTACTGCCGAGAGCCTGCAGGAGTCATGGGCAGGGTGTGTGGGGTGGGGGGTGGGGAGATGTGCTCCATGATGAGGACGTTCGGCTTAAAGACATAAAGACACGTCCCAGGGGCGTTTCTGGTCCCCACCTGTCGTTTTGCTCCTCAGCATGGCTGCCTAAAAATGCTGCAGGATTTCTCAAACATGCATGAATGAGTCAAAGCAAGGCTTTGGGCACATTTTTATGAGAGTATAACATTATAACATGATATAAAACTCAAAAAAAAAGTTGATTTTACATGATATTGCCCCTTTAATCTAAAAGGGGACATATCATGCAAAATCCACTTTTTTAACTGTTACAGTTTTTGTGTGTACTTTGAGTCTCTAGGAGTTCAGCAGTTACATTTAGTCTGTCCCAGTGCTGCGTAGATATCTTTAGATATACATAGAATTTGAAACGGAATTGCCAAATAAGATATGGACTTGCCAACTCCTTACCAACTTTAAGTTTCTGCGACACTACATAGTCATAAACCCCTCTATCATACTGGAATGGACCACTCCGGAAGCTGGACGGGGGCGGTGTGTGAAGCACCTTGTTTGAATTTAAAGAGACAGCCTCAAAATGAGTTGATCTGAGACACACCTCAGAAAAGGGGTCAAAGAGGGGCTTGTGGAGTTACAATGAGGATTTCAAACCAAAGCATTGCAGTTCCACTTCATATAGACCCCACCTGGATGATTTAAATGTGAAAAAGAAGGATTTAAAAGCATCATATGTCTACTTTAATCTGTCCAAACTGAGGTAATTTAAAGTGTTTTATTCAACAGGTGTTATTTGTTGATAACTTTCCATGAAACTCTACCTTAAAAGCTATAAATTGTTGCATTAAATAGAAACAAGGTAACATGAGTCTGATTTCTATCTGTTCCTGCTGTCATTAGGGTGGAGGTTGCCGGTTCCATAGGTATAACTGCTCCATAGAATCACCAAGAAAAGGCTGGAGCTTTATGCACCCAGGACGCTTGACTCATCTCCATGAAGGCTTACCTACAACTAATGGCACACGCTACATTGCAGTGTCCTTCATTGATCCTTAAGCTGTCATTTTATGATGAACTTTAAGTTATTTGTTTTTTCTCTTTTTTTTCCTTTCATGTCTTTCAGTCTCCAGACTTTTTTGTGATGGACTTCTTTTTTTTAAAGCAATTGCTTTGAATGAATTAATGATTGCTTAAAAAATCTCTGTCAAACAGAGGGATGTGACAGAAGCACATAAGACAAAATTAGGTTCATAAATAAGGAAAAACACAAACTATGCAGCTAGCAGGGGCAGAATGATGCTTCATCCCAGGATTAATGTGTACTGAAGGTTTCCATGATTTTGACATTACTTTTTTCTTTTCTTTTTTATCATGTTGGTAACCATTTTTATGCACATTAGGTTTTATAAACAAGCAGCTGTACCATGTCCAGATGCCCTTTGTGAATTTCAGGTAATATCTCACTAAATGCATTTATGTATGTAATGTGCTTGGAAGAATCTGCATGTTTGTTTGTTTGTTTGTTTATTTCTCTTTGTTCCTCTGATTTCATTCAAGGTGCTGATTACAAGACGAGGTCAAACTATGTATACTCTAAACCTGATTGGTTAAGTATCAAAATGGGCCATAAAAGTTTTAGCGAAATTCCCTCGGGGGAATTATCAAACACGTTGGGTCTCATCTATCCAAACTCTTCTAAGCATGTAACAATGCATAAATTTACTACTGGTCCTCATTAACTTTCATTGTCTTTGGGTCTGAGATATGTGTATTTATTTGCTGGAATACGTGTTCGTGTATTTTTCTACACCAAAGCAGCAAATTACAGATTTGTTATAAATAAAACTGAAAAGAAGGAATCGGTAGAAATCTGTTTGAACTGAAGGGTCAATTTTACTTGAAAAATTTCTCTCTCTATCAAATAAAGCAACAATCATTTCCTTTTCCATAAACATTTCTCAATTTTTTTATTTTTTATTTTGTTTTTTGTCTTGACGGATGTGAGTGACTGGATTTTGGAACTCCAAAGGAAACCTCTTTAACTTATTGTTGAGATTTAATAAAACTCGTTCTTTAAAACCTTTTGTTTTCTACTTATTTTTGACAATCTCTGGGATTTGTTACTTCCTACTGTTTTGGATTCTTTCAGCAGCTGCAGAGGAATGTCTGGGTTTCATCACCTCTGCGGACAGACTTATGTCTTGTTACTTCTGTTTCCAAGTTTGAACACATCACCTGTAGAATCAATTAGGCCTGTTTCTGCTCTGCTGCAGGGAGAAGCACAGGAGGGGCTCGGGGTGTGATGGGCTACACAAGTGCAAATGTAGTAGTTTAGAGTACCTTAGGGTGAATGTGTAAACATGTACATGTAACCTGATGAAATGATGAAATCTCTACAAATGCATGTTGAAAGATGGATGGAACAGAGTGGGTATGTGTGGAGCCTCTATCTGTCACAAGTAATGCCACCACTTATTGTATCAAAAAAATGTATTTAATAATTTTTTTTCTCATCAAACCTCATTACGTTTTAGCAGCCACATCTTCTGAAACATTGCCTCCCTCTCTATAAGAGGCATGTTTTCACTACTTGGTGACCAGTGGCAGGTTTTTTTTTTTGCTCCTTATAAAGCAAAGACGAAGGCTGAGTAACTGCTGTGTAGCAACAACCAGGGGGGATGAAGCTGGGGTGGTGGTGGTGGATTTAGGTCAGACTGGGAGGCACTCTGCTGCTGAAAGAGCCCTTTGTGTCCATCATTTCTTCAGAAATGAGTCCATACCCTCTGAAAGGTGACATTGAACTCAAAAGAAGCATGCAGGAATATGGCAAAACTTGAAGATTGTCATAGAAATGCTTTTATCAAGAGAAAGGATTAAGAAAAGCAAGGAAAAGAAATAAAAAATGCCAGACCAAATGTTTATCTTCTGAGAATTTCTATTAAACTGACTGTAGTTCTTTGGTGATTTTCTGATGTTTGAGTCTTCATGGCTTGCCTCTGTGATGCTCAGCTTGGAATTTGATCCGTGATTGTTTAAACTGTTCAAAGCTTGGTACATGCAGACCCCACGAGAAACATTACAATTCTGAAAAAGTAAATAAGGCAATAACTGGAAGATTTATTCAAGAAAAAAGTGATTTAAGACATTCTTCTTTCACCTGACAACATTTTCTTCCTTTAAAGAAAACATTTGAATTTGTTACAACAAAAAATGTAATATGTAAGCCACTTTAAATCTAGTTCTTTCATTAACCACCCCAACCATGAGGACTGCAGTGCATGTTTTGGATCCAAAGCACATCATTCAAAGCAGGTCAACAATGTGTGCATGTGTGTGCAATATACATACAAGGTGCCTTGTGAGTAACTCACTATAAATTTATTTAATTATGTTTGCGGAAGTGGGCGGAAAGGTGGTAGAGGAGGGGTGGGGTCATCTGAGTTCAGGCACAGTGCAATTTTGAGTTAGTGGAAAAGTACCGGAATGAGTCAAAAGACTGAGTGAGGCAAGTTTTGGCACAGCTCTGTGTTTGAGTCTGTGTGCAGTAATGGATATTTGGGGAGTGGCTCGTCTTCAGCAGAGTTTAAATATTAATAATAAAAAACAGAATAAGTACAACATTAAGAAAAATGTTTGCTGTTTGCTGTGTCTTGCAGTAGGGTTTACTTTTCCAGTTGTTAAAACATGAGGCCAGCTGCTGGTCAAATACTCGTTCATGTATCTGTTCCAAAACAAACCATAGATTTAGATCATATCTTGATTACAAATAATAATCCCTAACTGCTTGTATTTGTATCATTTTTATTGCAATTTGAATAATGTAATTGTCTTCTGCTTAAGGAACTCTTTAGTTAACAAATATACAGGCAAATAATACACATTTAATTTTGTAATTAAAACCTAAATATATTGTTTTAAAGGGGACATATTCTAAATCTACTTTTTTAGCTGTTAAATACATTTTGTTGTACAGAAAAGTTGAATTCAATTTGTTCCAGTGTTGCGTAGATATCTTTATATTCTGTTTACATACATGCATATACACGTAAACTTGTACAGATTGTCTGTAACATGGATTTCCCCCCATTTTTCATGTACTCAGACGTATAGTGCAACGCAGATTCTTTCAAATCTCACGAATTAAAAAAAATCTGCTAAAATTTATTTTACACCTCAGAGCCTGTAGAAAAACAATAAAATTATATACAGTATTAAATATTTATATTATATATTAAATAACCATTTTCCAATTAAAAAATAAGCTTGCCATCTCTCCCAATCCTCCGTTCCCTGCTCCTCTGCGCTGCAGACACGTTTATCTCTGCCCCACATTCCATCTTTCCCCACAGCCAACAGTCCACTAGTTCCCACCCCCCTACCCCCCATTGATTACAAAGAATTTGTTGTAATAATTTTGGATTTTTGAGGGTCAAGATAAAGCCATATGTCTGAAGTGGTTGACATGTACGTGACTGTTGTCTTCATTTTCATCTGGCTCTGGGTCAGACTCTGGATCCAACATGTAAGGCTGTTGCTGTCATAAAATGTTTCTGTGGTGCTAAATAATTTGTAAACCCCACTTTAAAGTGACAGACTCAAAACGAGTTGATGAGTCACACCTCAAAAAAGGGGTGAAAAGGGGGCTTGTGGAGTTACAATAAGGAGAAATTCCAACTTTATTTAGACCTCAACGGAATGTTTTAAATGTGAAAAAAAAAATGAATTTAAAAGTGTCTCCTTTAAATATTTGAATGGTCATTTTGCAAGTTTGCATCCTGCACCAGCACTGCATCTTTTTTTAATCATCAGAAAACATCTGGCGACAGTTTAGCTGAAGTTTCACTACATTTAAAAAACTTTGCCCTATTCCAAAAATGTACCCTGAAAATTGCCAAGCATGTGCAAAATCTCTGACAGTGTGTGTCTGACTCTCTGATATTAAGCTACTTTCTATAATTATAGGAAAAAAAGGGAATCAGACATACCAGGTGTGACAAGAGATGGCAAACTTCATCCTTATGATTCAACAAAAATAGCACAATTATTACAAGCCTGTCATCACATCTATCTTCCAGGTAAGTAATCAAATGTATTCCGAGTCCAAAACAGCAGTTGTGGCAGATTGTGTGCTATGAGACTATCAGCACACTCCCTTTTTACCAGACTGTTTACCATCTCAAAGTAAACTGGTTGCACGTACCATTTATCCAAATTACACAGCTATGCCCTGTAAAAACAATCAGCAGCCCCACACTCCCAGACAGATATTGATTTATGGAGAAAACAAAAGTGCAACAGAAGCCGGGCGGAGGACAGGGAGTTGTCAGAAGCCACGGGAGCACCGTTTATAGTAAGCAAAGAAATATCCAAACATGTCTTTTATGAGCTATTTTGGAGTCTTCTGAATGATCTTTCTATGTGTTTGGTCTGGTTTTGCTCCCTCAATCAGCTCTTTGTATATTGAACTGCGGATGAAAGAATGGGAGTGTGGGGTATTCTGGTGTCAGGGTGTGTGTGCACAGTGTACACGAAGGCTATAAATGTCTCAGGTCAATAAACGTGGCAACATGTTTAGACCCTTAGACATGTTCAGATGTTTAGATCATTGAAAAAGTTCTGAACATCTACTGTATTTTCTATTGTAGATCACTCTAGATGACCTCCTTTTAGAGAATTTGATGCGCTACCAGCAATTAGGAAAACTAAGAGAAGCACATTTCATTATTTGAGATAAAAAACAAAATAATTTGAATGTTTCACATAAAGGAGCAATAAAAACACCTGCTCGGCAGACTTTACAACAGCCTTTTCCACTGTAGTGCTCACATGCAGGTCATTCCCTAACTACTTGTAAACAAAGCTAGTCTGTGATTGTTGGCACAGCATCGAGGATGGCCACCCACACTTGCTGTTTTGATGATGGATCAAAATAAACTGATGTACGAGTCAAAAAGGCATCACTGTTTGATAGCTTCCTTTTTCATTTCAGTAAAGTGATTAAAGCTGTTATGTCTCTACAAATCATTCACGGAGATTTAAATGGGAGCACAAATGAAAACAATGTGCACATGAAAATAATAATGCAAAAATGATTCAATATCTTCCCCCCACAAATAACGTCAACTAAAACATCAAAAGGTCTTTTATTGTTCCAAATTGGGTCATGAACACATTACTTTCTTTCAGACTTTATCTGTGTTTATGATGATTAGAATGATAAAAAAGTAAACCATGTTCTAATGATGGCAGTGATTCAATAGAGAAAATTATCTGCCATCGGGCTATTGAAGAATTTTAGAACTATTCCACATTTTCTACATTTTTAAGATGTTCAAACATTATTTTTCCACAACTCTTAAAAATAGAATTCAGCAATCAAATAGTAACAGCTGTATTACACTTGCCTGTTTTTCAAAACTGTGCACATATACGATATACGACCATTCCTATAGAGACAGTGGAAAAGGCCCAAAACATGACCTGCATGCTTTAGACTTTGGATACGTTTTACTGCAAATGCTGAAAACCAATGCTTATTAAAACACAATGTTCCTTATTTAAACAAACAAAACTCTTTTGAGTGCTTCTGTTCACTGCAAAAATTCTCCATCTAACCAAGCCTTTGTCTAATTTTATTCAAGAAGTCTTACCAAGTGTAACTGTCTTAGTCCATTAGCTGAGTATTTCACTTAATCTGAGAAGATCCAGACTATAATCTAGTGCTTTCATCTGGATTTTAGAAGACTAATTTTTGCAGTTTAAAAAGCATTCAGTCTAGATCCATGGATTCATTTTAATTAAGAATTCTGAGATTTGAGAAAAGCTGGCAAACGTTTAGGTAATGCCTGAAATCCATGTTGATCATCACCTTACAATCGAAAACAAATGATCTAAAACCTTCTGTACACAAAGCTGAGCATGCAGCTTGTAAATTAAGTATGAAATGCCAATGATGTTAGCTTTCTGGCGGCTAGGTAACACTGTGAAGTCAATAACAGTGCAGTCTGCCTACTGTGGTTTCACCCAGCAAGAGAATTCAAGTAAAAAAAAAAAAAAAAATCAGTGTGATTCTTTTTAAA